ATAGTTTTTAAATTAGAATTACTTACCCAGATTTTGAGCTCTGGTCGACTTATAATGAAACCAAAATCTCATTTCCACCAAAATATATTTTCAATTACCAGTTTTCTAGGCTAACTTAGAGTATTCACCTTTGTTAAAGGTTTAAGTTTTAATTTTTGAACAGGAAAAATGAAAAAAATCAGAACTTAAGATATAAGGGTGTCAAGTGCCATTCTTCCTTAAAAGTGTGTGGGACACGTCATCGCATGCGTGTACACATAGGCTTGAGGTGCGGCCGTACAATTTCGCGTACGGACTGAGGACAAGAGCACGCAGCCAATAGCAGCTCAATGCCCCCTTTTTGTTTTACCGAAAGCCGCCATGTTGTATGACTGGGTTCCCTTCCTGTATACACTTCTTGCGTGGTTTATCTACTGAATAAACGTGCTTCGTGCTAAACGTCTGTTTCCTTCATAGCTGGGCTATAGGTTAGCTGGTTCTGGGAGTCTAGCTAGATGTTGGAGAATTTGCCATAGAGATTTCTGAGTCAGTCAGGCTTTACTAAGGTAGTAATCCGCTACAAGTGATATGCTTACATATACACATTTTATCCTTCTAGTATTTTGGGTTATTTTTTCTCATTGTCCGAATTTGCTTAATACTAATTTTCGGATTACTATGCTTAAAAACAAATTAACTATTAAGATAGCAATTCAGCTCCAATTCCTATAATTCAAATATGCTGCACTATCAATGAGCAAATTGTGTGTTTCATAACCTAAAAATTCCGTTTATTATGATTTGTTGATTAAAAAATACCCGAATGGAAATTAAAATTTGAAAATAAAAACTTTTCCTCCAACAACACGAAGATATATTACTATGCATATAGCAAAGTTGTGGTGTTACAATACCATAACAACATATTTTATTTATTTCAAATGGCAGGCTTTATGATATTTATCATTAGCCCTTAATCTTTGACTTCAACTTCCCCCAAGTGGGGGGGGGGTACATTTATAGCAGTTAATTCATAACAAATCATTAGCAGTCTTCTTTCTTCCCAGTATCTTTGGCTTTCCGTCCTTGTCTTTAGGGCTGGACACCGAATCATTTTGACTTCCATAACAACATATTCATTATATACCTTTTTCTTCTTAAGGCATAATAGAATAATGAAACTGATTTAAATTGGAATATAAGTCCGCGAGAATTAAGATTCATTTTTGAGGCGTTTTACTGGCTTAGCCCCATTCTTAAGCGAATTGAATATCGTTACTTTATAAAACTGGTTAACGAATACTCATCCATATGTGAGGACCTACATAGTGAATGCTTCTATAAGTAAAGTATTTACTGTAACTCTAACCTACTGCAGATATTTCAATATTAAAATCAATCGCCTTCAATAGACTCACCAACAAGCCTGCAGAAAGCTGCGTGTTGAATAGCCATTTAATTAAAATAACTTATAACCAAGTTCTGAATGTGATGTACCTAAAATCACTCGAAAATGGAGCTCATAAAAATTCTAAAGTTACGCAGTTTGGTAAACTCCTTACGAAAAATCAAAATGTGGAAATTTTTTAATTTAGAAAAAATAAGACTATTAAAATTCTTACAAATATTCTCCTATTTGAAGCACATTTGTTATCTCGCGCGTTTTAATTAATCAAGAGTTTCAACGTTTGCACCTAATTTTTCATATCCAAAAGGGACAGATCTTGGTTCTCACGAATTTTTTGCTGATAAAACGTTATATTTAAATGAATAACCCGACTGCTAATCCGTTCTATTTTTGCACAAATCGCTGAACTTATTTTTCAGATTCTACGCTTTACCGCATAGGTAAACAGGAAACTTGAAGTGGGAGTGTTCTAACTCATACACATGCGGATGGAAGCCTTTATGTGCATTTATTAATGCTAATTGACCGATCCTTCATGTTGACGTCAAATGCACAAAACTCACTCAAATCGAATTAAATAAGCAAAAAATTTAAATAAGCATATTGCTTTTCCGATAAAGAATGGCACCTCAAATTTCCCACAGTATTAAGTCCCCCAAAGAAGCTGTTTTCTATACTTGCAAAAATGCGCCTTACTATCGCTTTAGCGAACTCATCTGATAGTACACTTTTTCTTCTATTTACGCGATCACATGCATGCAAAAACTTTTAAGAATCAAAAAATGGTATTCTCATTGCCTTAGAATAGAACAAAGTTAAAAGAAAGCTTCAGTATCACACATTTGACCCATCATGTTAATCAAACATGGTTAAATTAAGATTTTAGAAAATTAACTTCTGTGGAAAAAACCGTACGGATATCATGTACTGCCTCAATTAATTTGTTTGATACACAAGATGGTAATCCAGTTTATTGTACAGTTATAAGATTTGGATTCTGATCAGCAACGATCTGCATTAAATCGCATTATCCATTAATTTTATTGCGCGCATGAAACAGCAAAAAATGAAATGCTATCTGATAACATTGAACATTGAAGAGTTGAAAAAGTACATTTAATAAGACGTGTGGAAATTTTTGCCTTTTAATTTTAAGGCAGGGCTGCATATCTAGATAAGTACTCGGTTTAAAAAATGACAGGATGTACCATCGCTTATTGACACACCATTTATGACCATTCCACACTCCACTCTAAACACTAGGTGCAGTATTGTAAACTAAAAAATTTCTTATATAAAATCATTGTCCAACCTGATACATAAAAGTAATTCCAGCGAGAGGTGGCGCCGAATGTGGAGGTGGGGGTAATGTAGTCTGAGGTGGAATTGGCTTTCCATCGTTTGATCCAGCAGAAGTCGCCGCTGCAGCTGCTGCAGCCAGTAGAAGACCTTGGTGATGCTGGTGATAATTTGGATGCATTATTGCTGGGGTGACCAATCCACCGACCACGCTTGACATACCACTCTTGCAGCCTCCGCCTCCTGAGGGAGAATTGGCAAGCTTAACTGTAATGGGATCTGTGAAACCTGGAGGTACGATTCCGTTAAGATGCCGAATCGCATGCTCAGCCTCAGATCGCTGATCGAATCGGATGAAGCCGACTCCACGGGAAAGACCTGCGAGGTAGTTTAATCAAGCCTCATCATCCATATCATACGAATTGGGTTTAGCCAGTATCTACTGTTCTTACGAATATCAAACTTTGATTACTTTGGAGATATCAATCTTGATATAAATGCGTTTAAAACGTATAAGAAAGGGCAGATTTTCACCACTTTATTTCTCAACTTAATGGGCTATTGATAATGCAGTGATGATACTAAAACTTTTTTCATCGCATAGACTGCGGTCGTTTACAGTCAATAATCTGAACACAAAATAAACTGAAAATCAATGAATATGAAGATAAATATGATACTTTTACTAAAAAGATAAAACATAAATAAATCTAGTACGGTAATGTACTTTTCTTTTAGCTTTTCATTTACACACCTCTCTCAAGGCTGAGAAATAGTTTTTTGCTTCAACCACAATCTCAACTACGGAAGCTAACACAAAGAAAATATGCAGTTCTTGTGAATGAAAGTGGCATATAATCGCGCGCTTGTTGTAGAAAAAAGTTTCTAGGTTTACTACGAATCCGTCAAAAAGACTCTTTTAGCAACGACAAACATAAACAACATCTTCCAAGGCTAATCTTGCTTGATTTAATTTAATGGGTACTTTCATCACTAAACACACACAATCGATTAAATTTTAAATTCAATTTTTCACAGACAGAGATCGCTTCAAACTCAATCTGTCGACGAACACATCAAACAGCCACTAGAATAAATAAACTATATCTGTTTATATGTATTATTTGGGCAAGTGTTAATGATATATATCATAAAGTCTGCCATTTAAAATAATAATATCGTAACAGGTTGGTAACAATATACTAAGCTTTTCAAGAAAATCTTACCTTGTTAATCGATTTTTTCATTGTGCATTCATTATAATAATGCAGCTTAATGTTCATTAAAATTTATCACAATATGGAGTCTGTTTGGGCGAACTATTAAATTTTTTAACATTCTTTATTCATACTGGTATGTATACGCTTTAAATATTTTTGCTATAATAATTCCCTTACTGCAGAAAATTTATTAAAAGCATTTATAAATGTAAAGCTGTCAAAATTTAATGCTTTGAAGCGGGCTGTTTAATTGCTTCGAAGATTCACTTCCCACCGTATGCTTTCCCACAATTTAGGCTGTTTACTTAGCCAATTTAAACATAGTATTGTATTTTGAAGAAAAATGTATGAAAGAATTGTCGGCGACGAAAATGCATCCTTTCTTCACAAAGTAGACATGAATTTAGAGTGAGAATGAAAAATATGTTGCGGATTGCCATTCCAACATCTCATGCTTAAAGTTTTCCGCCTTCTTGAAGCAATCTTTTAAAATTTACATCCAACAAGTTTTAGGCTGATTAAAGATCTTCTCTCATCTTTCAGTTGTGTGTTGATAGTCATTCTCTCATGTAAAATTACATTTTCCGTCAATTTGTTATAGCTTTGCTGCCTCCCACGCACCAGTCCTCCGTTTGGAAGCCGAAATAGGGCACCGTTGAGAAGGCCTCTAGGTATGATGAAAATGCGTATTCAAGGACATTTCGGATAAAAATAGTTCATTCTAGTTAGCAAACCCTTTCCACCACTCGAGTAAAAGTCAATGCCATTAGAATCGTGGTTATTTGCGATAAAGCTAATATATATGTATTTTTTCAACGAATAAATAGCCACTTTCAAACTCTAAGTAACTTTGCTATAAACAATTTCAAAGTTTTATAAATGTTTCCTAATCCAAAATGCCTGACGATCAACTCGTCACACCAAAAAAGACTAAAAAGAAACAGAATAACCTAGTGGATTGGTATAGCTACTTTTATTTACTCCGAAGCATTTTATTCCGAAAAGGTCTTCGTATTTTATATAGTACAGAATATGATAATTTATTATCCATTTGCTATTTCAGTCTTTAAGTACGTACCTTCTAAAATGGCCTTACTTTAAATATTAATTAGTTGATTTCATTATTCGAACAACAATTGGATTAAATTAACATTTTTTGAAATCATTTTTCTGCAAAAGCACTATTGTTGATGCAAAACAGCATTCTGTTTATGCAGACACAGAATTCCATGCGTACATGTTATTCATTTTCAAATAATTTAGCAAGTATCTAGGAAATAAAATTCCATTGATGAATTAATTTTCCCTAACACCCATCAAACCTAGCTCCAGCCTGAAGTGCACCCATTACAAATGCGAACAACCCTGGAGAATGCGATTGTGCGTGCAGAGGACTTCTTAGTTAGTCGGATATTAATTTTTATTCAAGTTATGCTAAAAATATCTAATTAATAATCATGTTTGATGTGATGGCAATCTCAGAAAGGACGCTATACCCACTCTACCCTCTCTGCTTCTTCATTCCCAGGGAGACAGTTTCAATAATTGTGGGAGCCTATCCACATTGGGATGTTTAGTTACAGAGATTTCTTAGCTTAAGTCAGAGCTTATTCGTGTGGCAATCTGCTACGAACCGAAAATAATGAATTAAATAACGCGCTACCGACATGAAATTTGTATTTTGTCATTATGCCTTTTAGTTCAATGCACAATAAAGGTAAGAAAATTTTACGTAGAATATTTCGATAAATATAGTTTAATTAAACTATCTCAATTCGATTATATATCAACCTTATAATTGATGTGAGAGGCAATTCAACCACACAAGCCACAAAGGCAGCGATAAATTTTCTCACGTTTAAATATGGACAGAAAGTAGAAAGGTTGCCTGACCCAAAATGTTGGGCGTTTTCGCTGTCAATTTCCCATTGTGCAAGAATTCTCAAACCGACATATACATCTCAATTTGCGTGATGATTACATAACTAGTAAATGAAGCTTTGAAAATGACTTTAAAAAATTTAATACTAATTGGTTTAAGTAAATTTCTTAATACTTTGACAAAATTAAAGTCAAGCACACTTAAATCATTGGGTCAAACATTAGAAATTTGATGTTAATTGAACACGAAAAAGAACATCAAATAAACGACTCTCTAAAAATCTTCATTATAAATATTAATTTATTCAAATTTCCTACGGGATCATTTGTCAAAAGACATGTGATTTGAACTAGATATTCAGACAATTGATGCGAACCACATTCGCGTCTTTATTTAAGTTAAATGATTTTTAATCACTTGAAGTTTTGGAAAAAATTAATTTTGAACTAAAATAGATATTTAAAGTCGTATTAGAGCTTATCTTGGAAATTGGAAGAAAAGAAACCTGCAACGATTAAATGCTCAACACGATTGCATATTTAATAATAATCGCCAAACATCGTAAAAGAGGGGTTCGTCCAGTGAAAAAGAGCCAGGCTCGAAGGTCTAGTTAATGCAATATAACTTTGTAAGATTACTGTGAAATATTGAATTTAACCTCGACTTTTATTTCGTTTCCTTGCCTATATTGGATTATTTTTACACTCCCACGATGGAAATAGCATTTTCGGCCTATGAGTGGGAGATAAATAAACTAAATGATCGTTTAAAGATGTGAAATTGGACGAGAAATTCATCAAAACTGTGGTATAATCAGTTTGAAACTGTCCACTACAAAAATTAAAGCTTTTAAAGCAATCGATAAACCCTACCTTCTGTTCGTTGATTTCTGCTATATTTTTGCAAAAATTATGACTGCTGAAAAGGAAAATTAAAAGCAAATTTGGAATACACACTTTTGAAACAGGCCTCATATGGTTAGATATTCTCCCCTGATTAACGTTTCTAAAACATCAGGGACTGACATGAAGATTAGCATGGTGTATGTAAACAATAATGTTGGCATGTTTTCACGATATTTTGACGAAACAAGAAAATGTATACTCTGGAGTAAATTAATCAGATAAACAATACCCCTTTCTTCTAATGAAGAGAAATGTTCTAACCTGTATTGCTATCATAAAGAATTCGTGAGGTTATAATTTTTCCACAGCAGGTAAATAGTTTTTCCATGTCCTGTTGTGTATAGGGTTTTGGCAAACCAGATATATAAAGATTTGCCCCCTTTATCGATTCCGAGCTTGGTCGAGCCAATGAAACCTATGAAAAGAACAACAACAATTTTTGAGAAACATAAAGTTGATTTTAAGCATCGATATTTGAATTCCAAATTATTTAACAAATGATGGTTAGAACCGCGCGTTAAAAAAATTAAATTCCATTTTGGAATTTCTGTCATTTACAAACAAAATCAAAAATAATTCCCCTTTTAAATAGTTGATTTGAGGTTTAACTTATTCAAGACAATTGAGAAACATGCAATTCGAAACGCATTTTATGATTCTAGTGCAAATTTTGGATAAATTGGGCTTTTACCAATACTCAAACTGAGTAGGGAATACCAGTTAAAACCCAAAAAATTTCCAAGTTGAATTGAGTTTTAAGTGCGATATCATGAACCTGAAATGACCTAGCATATGGAAAATGGAGTAGCTTACGGGTTTCCTCTTCTTCCCATAGTGACGATACTCCCACTTGACCTTACACATAAATTGAAGTTCAAAACCTATTAGGAGAATTGATCACAAGGGTTGTTTCAGTGGAAAGTTATCCTGAAGGCACTCTTATGAGAAACCTACATTATACCACCTTGCTTATTAACTCGATTCAGCCAGCATGGTTAGTCACCCTTATCACTGGATCTGTAATAATGGACATTAATGTCGTCACTTCGGTCGTCATGAACGTCCGTGTTGTCCACTGTCCTCATTTATTTGACAACATACAGTATTCCGTTAAACTAATTGACATCAATCCATATATCTATCCCTCACTTCTCATCTTATTTTATCTGCATCGTGCTGTCCGATGAAGATCAATGACTTAAATAGACTCTGCTCTCATTCATAGGGTTTCCTACCTCACTCCTAACTAGTAGAAACTAGGACGAATATTTTAGCTATAAAGAGCATGCTCGCCGATGATAATTACCGGGTATGCCGAAAATCCGCCCAAGGCGGTTTGACAGAAAATTCCATTTCATGAAACAATTTTTTGGAACCAACTAACCGCCCATCCGAACGAATTTTCGAAAATCCTGGTAAAGTTAATTTTTAGTAGCCACGTCAAGGAGCTCTGGACTAATTACGTGCAAGAATCCCGAAATCTAGTATTTAATGATTTTTGGTGGTTACTATATTGGCAAATTGAAATTTGATATATAGAGAACATATCCATTGTCTAATAATGCCAACTTTCGGTTAAGCTGGCAACATTCCTGAAGGACATATACTTTGGCATTTACGTATGGCTGTAATGATGCCTTTAGTTGGTTTCCTATTAGATTGACGCGTACGGCCTAACTGAAGCAACTAAGACGGTCAACAGGACTCTGTGTACTTTTATTCGGTCTGTTTAAAGTGACTCCGTTATCAATCACTCGACACTATGATTTATTCCCTACTCTAGCAATTTTTAATTTCTATTGTACCTGACCTTTTCCTTCTGTAGTCTTCACTACAATCTTGATCTCCTAATTCGGTCAAATCCATGGCTTCATATTTAAGTGTAGAATGACCAAAAGTTACGTGAAGTAATATCTCAAAGTCCGCTAAAGCCGTTTTTTACGGACGAGATTCGGACTCAACTCTCACATCTTTACAATGGGCTAAATGAATAATAAACATTATCAAAATTATGAAAACGGGAGCTCTTATTTTGGTGGTTCATAGATATATCAGTGCTATTTTGACTTGTTGTGAACCACAAATTATATTCCCTGCTTAGTCATGAAAGTAAAATATGGTTTGTGGTTATCGGGGAATATCATCTCACATTTCGGTCATAAATCCTCATCTACTTCCTGGAAATATAACCAGAATTCGAGCATGCCAAATGTCAATTCCAACCATGTTAAAGTGTTCTTTTTGAAGAAAAGGTGAGGGTGGGGGTTACTTGTATTATTTCATCAATTGGAAGGAAAAAAAATTGAGAAAATTCTACCAGATTTTTCTCTTAATTCAATTAAAGTCCTAAAAATTTTGGTGTATCTTGATTTTTTAGTAAATTGCATTAAAAAACAGTTATTTTTGGCATGATTTTCTCTTTTTTTGTAATTGCAATTCTAATTATATAAATTTTAGAAAAGGTCAATTAACCTTTAATCACTAAATTATTGTACTAATTAGTGCTTTTGTCCAACTAGACGATAAGTAGAACGCTATTAGTCCGGAGGATAATATCTCCATGCCTATATTGATGTGTCCATTAAACTCCTAGGCAAACCAAGAAACGGTTATCCTTAAAAGCTCAAAGAAAACATTTCTGGACTATAATTCTTAATCTTAAATAATTTTTCTCATAAAATTTGATTAACTATCATTTTTATTTTCCCATCGCAGATCCCACAGACAGCTTCCCTGGCAGGAAACTAATTGTTTGCTCCCAGAATTTCTCATTTTTTCTATTGCTTGCTATTTGAATGCTGGCTTTATCTAATCTTTACCCTCTACATACCCCAAAACTCCTTAAACCTGCTAATTAATAATGTTAACCTGCTTCAACAATTACAGTAAACTTGGTTTGCTGACTTATAACAAATGGTAATGAACATCCATAATGATAATATGATTACTTTCATTTGGCAAGGGCACAAATTATGAATAGTTGTACTTACTTTGATTGTTTTATTGTGTAAGCGAAGACCATTGAGAGTAGTGATTGCCCTCTCAGCATCTTTTGCATTTACATAATTAACGAATCCATATCCGAGGTTTTGACCTACAAGAGCAGTAATCAGTTCCCTTAGCTAATTAAAACAGATATGGTAAATGACAAATTTTTTACGACTTAAAAAATCGTTTCCCTTTTGAGAAAGAATAATAATGCACTTTTAGCAGTGATTTTTCTTGCGTATAAGAGTTGAAACAAACGAGTCCTACCCACTTGCTTTCAACTCCCCGAAATTGTGAAATAAATGTTCATCAAGCTATTAATATTGTAAGCGAGAAAGGTTGTTGGACATACAAGTGCATACCATTGACTACAAGGTAATTATATCTTACTTTTTGTTCGAATTTCTCACTCGAATTACTTCCTGAAAACTCTTTGAAAAATAATTAATTTACTTTTTTTAATATTGCCCAATTATAGGCGTTTTAATGTATTTCCGCTTGGTTTTCATTTATTGTTGTTGGCATAATTTTCCAATTTCACCTGCAATGAGTCATCGCAGCCTAGCGACCTGATTACTCATCAAGCGGCTCGATTCGTCTGTCGCAGTTGCGCTCTTTATGGTCCCAGTACAGGGCACACAATTCACTTGTCCTTTTATTGCTACTTGCACTCAATGCGATTTCTATTTTAGTAAATATTAATGAGGAATAGGGGAGAAAAAAGAACTTGTAAAATTTCTTCACTATTTCATCAATTCCCGGAAGTTGTAATATAAAATGAATATAAATACTAATGAAAAATGTATGTGGCTTAATATTGGAATCGAATTTTTTCTAGGTAATTGTAATGGCAAAATAAGTAAAAAATTCAACTTTGAAACAGTCAAAGCAAGCTTCCTGATACGCTTTTTAGCAAAATGTGGGCACGAATTTCAAGTTATTTTGGGTCGGGTTTACTTTGAACTGTGCTTTTGCACGTATCGTGAATGACATGCCTACTAAAAATCAGTAGCTACCTAAAAAGCCGAAGATTTGTCAAAATAATGAGCACAGAAAATGGTGCAAGGAGCCATTCTTACTTTGGATCACGAAGGGCAGATTTTATTTAAAACCATGAAAGGCTACAACGTTTGTGCCAAATATTTTAGGAATGGCCACCCACGCATATGTGCTACATCGATTGTGCTTTATTTGTCATTTGTTTGTGTAATTAACGACATCGTTGCTATCCTAAAATATGGTTTATTTTCTGGCTATAATTCGGCTTTGAAAGAAAAGAGGACTGAATAAAATTAAGTTGGGCTAATTTACTGCATTTGACAAGTCCCTGACCCGTAAAACTGAGTGAATGATCACAAGCCCTTGCTCTTGAAAACCACATTTGCAACTTACATGAACTGAATGCAAGCATGCTTTAGAGCGCTCTCAAAACTTACAAGAAATGAAGGTTTTAAAGTTAAAGAGCTTTAACTGCCATTGGATCAGAGCGAAAAACTGTCTTCAAGATTGTAAGCCCCAATCTCACCCCTCGGCGCTTTGCATTTCTTCTTAAAAAGGTCACTCAGAGACCAATTGGGTTACAAGATCAAGAGAATCTTTGCGTACATATTTTAAACGCTAATCTTGGAAAAGAACTTCATTCTTCAATTTTTTTGATGATAAAAAAGGACTTAGCGATATAGGAACCGATTGAAATTTATCGATCAATAAGTAGAAAAAAGCACAACCAAGCATCCTTCAAATAAATTCAAATTGTTAGTTAAAATGAACTAACTTTAAATGATACTGAACAAAGGCATTTGATATGTTCCAATCAAATTATATTCATCAAGTTTTTCCTCTTTTACTGTCAAAACATAGCGTGATGAATGACTTTTGAAACCAAATACATTTGCACCTGCCGAACTGCTTATCCAAGTGATAGATGCAAGTAAAGGCTAATTTCATAAATGATTCACTTGGTGAGAACAACAATTAATGAGTAAAAGAAACAGAAGATGGAACTCAAATTAATTCAAAACTCAGAAATTAAATGCCGCAAATTTCAAGCTACAGCATTTAATCTGCCTTGAGGTGCTATCCCATGCATATTTTGGGGAATATTTTTTTGCACATACTAGTTCATAATCCAGGAACTAAATTTGTCTTGCTAAAATCGGTGCTTCCCCAAGCAAATTAAATTTATCTCTCTGAGCCCACACATGGCAATACGTGCATAGAAGACAAGATGCCCTTTCAAAAGAGTTTCATAAAAAGGGGTTAAGTGCATTTATGTCCACTTAAAGACGCAGATCAATGATCTGAAGAGTAGCCTTAATTGATAGCTCATAGATTAGTAATCTTTTCGTCACATTGATCGAAAGATAGCTATAATTTATCTATGAGATATAAAAATAACATTACCCAGCCTTGCACTAGGCTGACTTTTCTCAAATTTCGATTATATAGATTTAAATTCCATTTGTAATTTCATGGAATATCTTATGAAAACTTCTTCTCCATAAAATGGGAGAAATTTTAATTGCTGATACTAGTTAATAAGTTGAAAAGTCATTATCCCAAACAGCATGAATTGTTTAATAAGTGTTTTAACAGAATAAAAGCAGATGAGCGCTATTAATAATATAAATTTACTATTTGAGGAATTTAAAATTATATGTTTTTTTATTTTGTTAAGAGCATTAACAAACTTTTAAAAATCAGGTGCGTCTATATCATTACAAATTACCTAACATGTAACTTTGCTGGTTGCAAATAACTACTCAATGTTGCAAGGGAATAAAATAGGGTTAAATAGGAAAGCCATTCACCTGGTTAACAGGACGGGAAGTTACGAACAAAATAATGACTGGAACCAATAAAAAATTGAATTGGAAACGTTTGAAGATTACTCATAAATTTAGGTTAATTATTACCATTTGTATTCGAATACAAGGGTGTGCGATAAACTTAACTCAATGTGGTGCACACTGGGCAACGATATTCATACGGCAAAAAGTATAAACCGGAAGTTGACAGTATGTCATATTCGACCACTATCACGTTACTCACCTTGCCTACTCTCTATATGAAAGCAAATAACTTGTACGGCAATAACAATCAAAAAAATTGGGTTATGATTGCAGTTAAATGCAATCTGAGCACTGGTAAAACAATCTGACATCAGCAAGAGAACTTGTATGAAGATTACGACACTATTGGGGCTAGAAAAAAGGTATTTAGTAGACGATCTGATATTATTGGGCTCGCGCAGCAGATTTCTGTTAAAGTCGTCGAAGTTACTTGGTAAAATGAAACATCCTACTGAAGTACAAGCTATCTGGCTCTTTCCAATGTAAATTTTTTTACCGAAATGAATAGCGGAGGACATAGCACGCACGCATTCCTTGAGTCATGAAGACTAAATTCATCAAACGGTTGAGGTTTTTGGTTATGTCCTCCTCCTCCTCCTTCGAGGGTGATTTTGTGCCTTCCAATACATTTTTTTAAAGAAGATTTTATGTGCCATTGAGATCCATACTTGGGATCGTTGACCACTGAGGCTATTAGGAACTGGAAAAGGACGAGAGTCGCTAATTACGGGTCATGTGTATTTCACCAAGATTCGACCCTTTCCATGGAAAATCAAAAACTGATCGTCAATCAGTTTTTACCTTGACAGCAGTCCAGACATTTGACCCACGAACTCCCCAGATCTTAACCCAACGAACTGTTACATTTGAGGCGCTGTCGGGAAAGACAACAATTTCAGTGCCACTAATACAAAGCCCCGGTGTAACGACGGAATTGGCGCTGTTTTCGAATTTCCCTATCTTCTAACTGATGACTTCTTGGTCTCAGTGAGGTCATTAAATTTATTTCGAACACACTGTATTGGACTTCATTTCTATAGAGAGGAGTTATTTCTCAATCTCTCTGTTTGGTCTCATTATTCATATATGTTGATGATGAATAGTGAATGCGAAAATTTCGTTTATTTGGCAGAATTGAATAGCAGCCAAACAAAGAAAGGGAAACAATTAGGACCAAGTCAAAACTTCAAATAGTTTGCCAAAATTTTGACTCCATACAACCTTAAATTGTAGCAAACTACTAGTAGGCAAGCATTTAAAAGTACATTTATAAGACTGATATTCAATGTTCAAAACATAATTTTTTATTTATTAAAACCATAACATCTTCACTGATATTTAAGATATTTTAATGAAATATACCATAGACTGCAAGAGGATACGAACATTCCAAATTGGCATGACCAATTATTCAAGAAAAGCAATTGATCGACAGGCTCTGGGCATTGTGGATATGCACTCGCTAATTTCATACATGGAAGTTGAGCTTCGGAAGATTTTCAATTCGCCTCTTATGGGAAAATGGATAGCTCTATGTTTTCAGAACAACAATAACGTCCTTATTTCATTATATTCAGCAGTTTGATAAATCGTTTCAATCCTTAGTGGAGTACTTTATAATCATGGAGTTATAAATTAATTAATAACAATCAATTTACTTCAATTTTCTTATCACTGCAAAAGAATTGCCTCCCATTCATCCAATTTCATTATTGCAAATTGCAAAAAAAGTGATGCAAAAATAAGACTCACAAGTTGATTTGTCCCGAATAAGTTTGCAGCTCACTACCTCTCCTATACTTGCAAAAAGACTTTTGATTTCTTCCTGTGTCATATTTTGAGGCAAATAATTCACAATCAAATTTGTTCCAGCATCTTCAGGTGGCTGATCAGACGAAGCTTCTGAATCGACCAACGTTGAGTTTTCAAGGGTCTTTGGTGTCGATTCAACCCTTTCTGTACAGCTATTACACATTGTTTTCTCCATAGATCCTATAGCATCATTTGTTGGTGTGGAAGTTTCATCAAGACTAGGGGGTGGAAGCTCAGTAGACGTAGATGATACTCGGTATTCAGATGATTGCATTTCTGGAGGAATTTGATTATTTGGTACATCCAAGGAGGAAGACGAAGTTGTAGATGTATCACTTTGTTCTGTATCAGAGTCTGGAAAAGTTGATTTATACTCATTTGTCGTCATTGTTGTTGTAGCTCGACGGGAGCTAACCTTCGCCTTCTGGTTAGTTGATGAGAGATGAGAGGGCCGGGAGACTTTATCAGAAAGAAGGATTTCTTTGGAATTTTCTGTGGAATTGTTGGCAATTGGAGGGCTCCTCTTTTGTGCTGAAATATCCTTTTTGTTTTCGGTGGTATTCATAGTTGCTTAATATCGGCTGATCATTTGTTTACGTTCCATAATCTGCAAGGAAATTGGCAAATTTTCCTTAGCTTAAATAAATCCAGATTTAAATGGACAAGAAATGAATGCCTTATTCTTGTTAAGTACTTCAAGGACAGGTGGCTATTGGAGAGACTATTTTATTCCAAATAAATGCCAACACTGAAATGAAATCAATATAGGTTGTCCGTAATGTATTTACTAATAATGTCATGGGTGTTTAACCCATGATATCTCAGAAGTCATATTCATTTCTTTGAAGGAAAATATTTCATAGCTGAGAATAAAGTTCTTCATTGACTACGATAATTAATTTATTAGGAGCGACTGTTCAATTATGGAAACCACCTTGCTCATGCACGCTACTTAGGACTCATAAGAAGCACGAATTGCTCCTCTTCTAATCTATTGGTCATTTGCTAAAAGAGCATTTGAATTACTCTTGAGCATTTTATTAATTGAATAGGTTAAAGTAACTAGTGTATAGTCTGCCTTGGGGTGAGCCTAGTGTTTTCTATTGCTTAATGGATTAACGACAGTACTAAAGCGCTTGCCTTAAAATCAGATATTTCTCAAATCCATCTCAAAGCCAAAGTTTTTCCTCGGCTTAATCACGAGAGAGTGGCAAAATACGCAGCTGGGATAAGTCCTTAAAGGATCTGTGCTTTACTTATGACCAATTTTTAGCGACTCGCAAACATAGGTTAAGATTGGACGAGTCCAAAATTAATGACAAACTCGAATACATGGTTAACAGACAGGAAGAGAGGAGGGGGTGGGGAGTGCCTGAAGAACATAGACACCAATGTTGACTTATTCAACTGAATCATCTGAAGTTTTACAACCTTCGTATTTTGCATTCCCATGGGCAAATACCAAATCATCCTAAGTCTAACTTAAGCATGCCTTCATTTAATCACCAAGCTCTGTCAGAAAGCGCTTATTGACTGTACAAAAGCTATGATGCAGTTTTTTGCTATCGTCCAAAATTTCCGAATATAAAATACATTCTTCGATAATATTTATCTTAAACTTATTCAAATAAACCATAAATTCGAAACGATGAAAGAAAACACTGTAAATATAAATTGGCACTTGTCAAAATGATATTCTAAATCCCAATTACTTTCATCCATCAACTAAATGCAACTTAAAAATGCGAATATTTAAATGAAACTCGCAAATGGTGTACGGCCTCCCCCCAATAACATATGGCTCCAAAATACTTCGAAATTATAGACTAAATCGTTAAACTTTAATATATTATTCTTATATTCCAATTGCAAGATTAAGACAGGATTATCCAAATGCAATTTGAACTATTTTTACAAGTTTATTATTTATTTCACGCTCAACAAGAGAGAATAAAATTCTCATTCGTCTTCCTACTGAGCTGTAACTTCCTCATATTTTCACTTAACAACAACAACTTAGAGCTAAAAGATACGCCCAAAAGAAATTGATTAATGCGTATTGTTAAGAGCGCTTTAAAAATTAACCTGTTTATCCCCTATTTAAGCGCTACAATGAATCACCTAAGTACAATGGGAAGAAAGGTGTAAAAGCCATTCAATTTTCCAAAATTATTTTAATCTTCTTTCTTCAACTGCCATCTTACTTGTCAAGAAAAAATGAAAGAAAATTGGGCAGAATAATTTGAAAGTTGATTGATAGCCTCACGTGAGTGAGTTGCCAGATTTTCATATCCCCACTGCTTTAAAGCCAACTTTGCTTGACCGATTTGATAAAATCTCGTATTTTCTAAAAATGTACCTTCATATGTTAACTTAAAATGACAATCAAAATTAATTGAATTAAAGAAAATAAATCGTTTATTAGCTAGCAATGAACTTGAAATCGTTACAAAGATTTTAAAACGGGGATTGGTAAATTAAAAAAAGAGTTTCTTATCTCATTAAAACAAAATGCTTTCAATATGATATATTGAAAGAAGTTAGCAATTAAACTAGATTGATGTCATTAATATTTCTAATCAAATTCTTTCATAAGACAACATCCTGAAGATATCAAAGTGAAGTCACAACTCCGGGAATAAATTTGGATCAAAATAACGCCTAAAAATGATAATTGAATTATATTAAAATTAGTTTTCTAACTGATTTCAGATCTTCCAAAGATATTGAACAGGATGAGGCAAAGCAAATTCCAGCTAATCCGTGACTGACTCACTAAAAGTAATGAGAGTGCATTAGGAGTAGATGTAACACAATAAACTAACTATCGTCATATATTTTAATGCTTTTACCTATAAGTGATTTGTCTATATGCTCCAACCTGTTCACTTACATAAACCATTTCTTTTAAGTGTAAAAAGCAGACTTCGCAAGCATAGTGAACACCTTCGAAGATCTCTGTTTATATTCCATGATTAAATGTCGAGGTAGGTAGATAGTGCTGCGACATAAGTGACAAAAATTTGACAACTAGAACAAAAATTTGATGAATCTACTGCTAGTTAAGAAGAGGCGGAGGGAGTGCTTCAAGAAAAACGTTCCTTCTTAAGCCAACAAAGTCATGCAAATTAGGAGAATTATTTTGGAAGTTGGCAATTAAAATTGTTTTTCCACCCATTTTTCAGCAAGAAAGGCTGACCGTTTTGAAAGTGAGTAGAAATTCATGTGAACGAAATAAATCACTGTAATCGGGTGGGTGCGCGATCGAAATGGTCAAATGGAATTTTCACCATCTTTAAGATTAATCAGAAAATGCTTTCCGAGCAATTTGAAAAGATTCATAAACTGCGAACTATTGTATGCTTATTCGAATTTTCAAGGTAGTAACTTAAAAGACTTTGGTCTAACTTAGAAATTGCAATATAAAATACCTTCAAGAAGCTACATTTAAATTCAAAAGGGTTAAGACGATTTATTGACTCTTGTTTATAAAGCTTCTAACAAAGCAAGTCAGGTGAATTCTATCGCCCGAATTTTATTTGACGTTATTGTGCAGAAAGCGCAAGGAGAACGAAAGCATGGCGCTTAAATTGCCTCCACCAATTCCACCTTTTGAATAGGCTTTCGAATACAATGTTCCCATAATTCAAAACAAATTTCTCTTCAACAAGAAATAATTTTCAAATTATACATTCATCAGTTGGAATTGCATCTGGAAAAAGAAGGACATTCATTTTGTGACTTGGTTGTTCACTTTTCAGTGATCTTTTGAGCGTGATTATCAGCAATTAATTGTTGTTCAATTAGGTAAAATCAACGAAATCCTTAAATATCACTAAAGAGATACGTTAATAAAAGTAAAACGAGATCAAAATTATAGCGCAGTTATCAATGTTACGGTACTAGCTGTCATTCCAGTAAATTTGTGGAATAAATTTGAAGAAAATTCTCGAGATGGACTAGATGCAAAGGCAAGAAAACTTGCCTCACGCATGATAACCCAAATATCTAGACTGCAAACTGTGTGGTCTAAGCCCATTTCGTCCATTAAGTAGGACCCTGGAGTTTTGATACTTAATGCTGAAGCAGCATACGCTGAAAGGGTTGAATATTTACAAATTAAATAGTCAAAATGCAAAATGTTGATTTGAATTGAAACTGAAATCTAGTAAATGTGTTTTAATATGATGGAGGTGCCAGAATAATATTTTTTAAATAAATCTGTTGCCGTTGTGACTTTTTATGAAGAACGTAAAACTAATAGCTGACTAAGATAATACATTTTCACCTGAAATCCAACTTACATAAGCATAAAAAGATTTAAAATCGTCTAGAAATGAAAGCCATTTTATTTTATATTGTAAAATAATTTTAACAGGGAACAAAAGAAAAGTAAAATCTCATAGGGAAGCACAATTTTTAGCAGCTGTTTTGAGATTGATAGCACTCGATTTAAATTTATGGAGCTCCACAAACTAGAACTGTGTGTGAAGTGGAATGACTTATAGGATCGTGTGCCATCTAAAACATTTTGAAAAAATGAGGTGAAACGGTGGAAACGACTCGTTCCACCCGAACAACTAGTTGCTGCGGTCCAGAAGGCGCATCATGAACTTTGATTATTGACACTAAAACTGCCCTATTAGTAAATATCGTACAGTGCAAGTTCAACAAATCAAATTAATGCTTCCATTCAACCCCACACCCTCTCTACATCATTTGATTGATCTTCTGTCGTACGATTTCAATTGCTTTTCACAATAAAAGATGCGTAAATTTATAAGTATAACTGTGGATAATAATAAACCATACTTGTCTTAAGCAATTTTAACAAGATTTTAACGCATTTATCAAACAGTTATTAATTTTTTCATACAAGCAAATTTTAGTCTTGGAATCGAAAGAACTAACGCCGGTTAATCTGGCCGCAATGATTACGTTACAACGCACCCAGTTCAGAACTTGAAGAATTTAATTCTCCCCTCTGCTATCATGCTTCTTATTAAAATTTGGAATATTGAATCTGTATTTTTGTGGTTCCAGATTGACCGCTGGTATGTTCCCGTTTCCTAGGCTACTTGCATTGTTTATGCTCACCTAAACTTATATGTAGTACTACGACTGGCAAATTTTATCATACCACTAGAACACAATCCACGCAACACCTTCATTTCTCCACCACTGCCTGTAATATCTCATTCCTCTCACCTCGATGGCCTCTGCTAACATATCCACTTGTCGCAAGTGTCTTTTTTCCGCCCATCTTTTAATGATTATTTATAGAAATAAAAAATTAATTGCAGGAAAGTCGGGTCCCGCAAAAAAGCTCCTTAAGAATTCCTTTTGTTTGTAATAGTTAGCTATGTAGTGCACCGTGACAATAAAAAAATAGTGAATGTCAAAAATTATCACTCGTCAGTCGCTGTACGAAGTATAAATGCCGTTATATTTGATTAGTCTCATTAGGAATGAATTTTGCTGGTAATCTCTACAAATTGAATGAAACTTCTTTGCGCACTTTCTTTACCCAGCAAGCTTTGAATAGCACCGATATAATCTTACTAA